ATCCCAGGACCCCGGGATCATGACCTGAGCGGAAGGCAGCGGCTTAACCGACTGAGCCACCCAGGCGCTCCCTGGATTCTTCTTAAGGAAAGTTTCAGAAATGGGTAAAGTTTGTATTTTCCTTTCCACGAACATATGGTGTCAATACAAATCTTATGTAGTGGAAGAGTGTCCTTCTTTCCAGAGTGTCACTTCTCTATGAGGCTCTGGAGATCATCGCTCCTTTTAAATTGCCCATCCCTGACCGTGCTTTATCTTTGCAATTTGACTTGATTTTTTAAATAGCCAGAACTTACTTGGCATGAAGCCCAGTCATTGATGCAGTTCACGGGATGAGGAAATGTTGGTTCGAGATGAGATGTTGCTGTACGAGTAATGAGATCGGTGTGAGGTCCTGAAAGAGACCAGTGTTTTGACCATCGGCAGCACGGCTGGAGGCCCAGTAACCGCCCAACAGTGAAGCAGTGCCACCTACTGATACAGAGATATACTATGTCATCTTTATGGAGTCCTTAATAATTTTTATTGTTTCAAGAGTTCATTATATTTCATCACCATAAAATCTCTAAGGGTGCCATCAGTTTGTTTGAAATTCATATTATGCAGAGGAGGAACTGAGGATTCAAGTTGCACGTGAAGTAAGGTATAGAAGCAAAGCCCGCGGGCACCCACCCCTGGTGGGCGCTGCACCTGTCCTCCATCGGGGGCCCCGCCAAGGTCCACACAACTAAACAAAGTGGGTCCAGGTTTAACTGTCCTGATCTGTCGTGCAATTATTTCTTCTTTTCCACAGCATGCCTCAGATCACAAATTAGGAAAGTAAAAGAAAAACTTCTATTTGGTCGATATGAAGATTGTGCAAAACAACACCATAAAACCTAGAAAGACACATAGGACTCGTGAATGTTTCCAAGAAAGGGGTCCTCCCTAACCAGTGTGAAGTCCGTGGGAAAAAAAAAAAACAAAAACTAGTCCTTCCACGAGATCTGACTTTTTCCTCCTTGGTTTTATCCAGATGAAATATGTTTGCTCATCACTGTGAATTCCCACACCACACCCTCAATATGAATGTCTGCATCCGACAGGCCCCACGGTCAAGGAAGACAGGAGTTTGCTCGCATCCATCCCCGTGGCCCCTCCAGCTAGCAGTCTCTAGCATCTACCGAGCAGGGACCCAAGGATCGTTTATGTTGCAATTTAAAAATAAGAAGTATTATACATGAAGCAAGGGCTGGGCCCAGACCCTGAGTTATTCTGAAGGGCCAAGCTAAATATTTTTGTGCCTATAAATATTCAGGGAGCCGATCAAAGAAATGGGCTCTGAGCCCTCGGGCAGGGCAGCATCCTCAGAGGACTTGCTGAGAGGCCACGCTCCTTTTCAGAGCAGGAGCCTGACGGTGTTGTGTGAGAAGGCAGATCCTGTACACACACGGACCCAGGTCCCCGAGGCCTGGGGGCTTGCTGAGCAGATGGTATGAGCAGATCCAGCCCTATTTCAAAAATCACAGCAATTGAGAAGGTTGAAAATCATAAAAGTTGGATCATGCCTGAATGACATCCTCACCAGCCACGTCCCGAGTAGGTGGGCCAAGACTTGGATGGGCAGCCAGGGCCTCCCCCACCCCCCACGCGGGAGGTGACAGCCTGAGTCAGCTCTTGACTTAGGTTATTTAAAGTTTTGATTAACAGGTGGATTCGAGGAATAGAGGACACAGCAATTTAATCTCCTCTCCTACTTAACCCAAGCTTAGTTGAAAGCACCTGGTGATTTAGGCCTTTCTGTTGAAAAGTAATCATTGGGCGAACTCACGTGCCTTTCCAGCTTGCTAGTCATTGTCTAGAGAATGTGCTGCTGTCTTTAGTGATAAAGGATCTTGTAAGACCACAAAGTAATCCTTCTGAACAATAGATCTCATTATAGATATAGATGGGGTAGGTGACGGAACAGGGTTAGCTGGCCTCTAGAACATTCTTGGAATTCACCCAGGGATAGTCTTTCTGTACCGTTGTATTTTTGGTATTTTCTTCTTCCTCTTAAAGGTGTATATATATATATATATATAT